AGGTGTACTCTCTCTCTCTCTCTCTCTCTCTCTCTCTCTCTCTCTCTCTCTCTCTCTCTCTCTCTCTCTCTCTCTCTCTCTCTCTCTCTCTCTCTCTCTCTCTCTCTCTCTCTCTCTCTCTCTCTCTCTCTCTCTCTCTCTCTCTCTCTCTCTCGTCTTTGTTTTTTTCTCCCTCTACCTCCATCTCTCCTTCCTTCCCTATTTGCTTCCCTCCTTCCTTACTTCCTTCTTTCTTCCTTCCGTCTTCTTATTTCTTAGCTGTTTTGTTTTATCCATATCCCTTTTGCTACTTGTCTCTTATGTCTTTTTTGTTTTTGTTTTTTGTCTCACCTGCTCTATTTTTTGCCTTTGTTGTTGTTTTCGTTGTCACCATCCGCTGCATCCGCCTGGCTTTCTTTGGATTTTATGGCGTCTTTGGCTTTTTCCGATTGAGCTCTCGTCATTATTCTTGATTTCTGGTTCCAATCCCGCCTGCCTCTTCTCGTGTTTCACATCAGGTCCACCATTCTTCGTTATCAACCTCGCCTCTCGTTCATCCTTTGCTTTATTTATTTTCTTTATTTTCTGGTCTCCTCGCCAATTCGTTCCTATTGCAGTGAGCCAAAACTCAACAAAAATTCTAAATGAAGCAATGTTAAGCCGATCTACCTCCGATAATCATCATTAGTCATCTTTGAGGCCGCATACACGGTGACGCGGCAGTATTTCTTCTTTCCACCGCCTCTCGGAGGTCTTGCACGTCGTCTCGGAGAGTGACGAGCAGGATGTGCACTGCTTCTGGTGGCACGGCGTGTTGCGCCGACATTAATTGCTCAAGGCCGGCCGACGCTCACTGCAAGAGAGCCAGCTGTCCTGTCACTCACGCCGGAGGCCAAGCGACGCTTCTCACGCTTCCATCTTCTCGTTACACCTGCAAGACATCTCCTTTCCCCTCTCTTCGTTGCTCTGCTTTCCGCAGCATCACATAGTAATAAGTAAAAGAACCCGCATCAGCAAAATTGCTGTCCTTTCAAGCATCGATAGGATAACATTTGTTTTACTATAATAACTGCGCGCTGCTGTCTTTGATTTTATATGGTGTGATATGATCATTAAGACGTATTCCGTACTTCTGTTTGAAAAATGTGGTTCTCACTAACCTTACTGTTTATGCGGTTCATTCCTTCTTGTGTTTAGCTTCATTCATAGTTGTCTCTACAACAGACCACCTTTCTCACAACTTCTACCTACCTACCCCATTTCCTCGAACCTCCACTGTCACGACCTTCAACCTCCACTCTCGTGCAGATTCCTCCGTCTTTCTCCTCTCTCTTTTCTCTTCTCATTCATCTCTCTCTCTCTCTCTCTCTCTCTCTCTCTCTCTCTCTCTCTCTCTCTCTCTCTCTCTCTCTCTCTCTCTCTCTCTCTCTCTCTCTCTCTCTCTCTCTCTCTCGTAGCTGCTGCAGCCTTCCCTGCATGCTGCTGCAGCTCGCCGGCAGCTGTCGCGCCTTGGGGCTCCTGTCGAACCGACCTCGCGCGCACGCCGGCCTCATTCGGCCCCTAGCTTGTCTGTGGCGTCAACCACGTGACTCAGTGCTGAGTGGATGGCAGCAGACACGTGACACGGGCCACCCATCACGCTGAGACGGAGCACCGGCCTCGGCTGCCAGGGAGGGCTACGGTGCGGCCCGGCCCAGACCGGTCCGACAGCGGCGCGGCAGTAGACGGCCAGACGGGAGACGGAAGGGAGCGGATGGCACAGCGGATGTAGAACGGCTGCTGAATGGCGGACACGGTCCAGACCGTTTGATCACCACTCTCGTTGTGTTTAGCGACTGTGACTTGAAACATGCGGCCGGACATGCTCTTTGAAGTGGGGCGGCTCACACCTGTTGTAAGAATCACCAAGAATTGCCACTCGATAAAGGTGGTTTCATTTGCTGACATGAAGATTGTTTATTTTAATGTTTTAAGTATTTGCTGGCTGACGAACTTGAAATTGAAAATTGCCATGCTATTTGCCATTCTATTTCAGCGAATGTTATTTAGCGGCGCAAAACATGTATTTACTAAATTTGTCATCACTCCTGTCATGCACGTCTATTCGAAGAAAATACCTCTCCAAAGTAAGCCATTACATATTAAGAATGCATTAGGGTGTTTGCGCGTAGCTTTTCTAATGTCGTAGCTAATAAATGACATCGATTTGTAGGCCATTTGTCTGCCGGCAGTCGCCATACATCTTACCCAGCCATCTTGCCAGCACTGCGCGGCTCCTCACGGTTGATTGAGGTTCGTTTTATTCGGGTGACGACAAATAGCTACACGGCTGCTGCCAACAGGTACAAAATCACAAAGAGCGCCCATCCATCATGGCTGTTGTGGCTCGGTAGCACCGGTGGACAGATTCCGTCGAAAACCGCTGGCGGAACTCTGGAGGTCACGTCACCATGTTTTCACTATGTTGTCATCGTCATTAGAGCCAACTATATCGCTATCACCGTATAGGGAAGCAGACGAAATATCGGGAATCATTTTTGCAAAGTGCGTTTGTGTAAAACAAAATGATATATAAATTGATATTACGCACCGCTTACAGTCTTTTGCTCGCTTTCTCCACCCTCTTAGTGACATGCTTTGTCTGCCATCTGATACTCAAAACACTTCTGGAGTGCCCTGTTTCCTGTTCGAGATGTCCTTCCTTCCTTTCAGAGTGACCTACTCGGCGCCAGAAATGCCCCGTCCGCCGTCCAATGTGCCCTGTGCAGGCTGCAACCGCCGCGGCTCACCCTCACCGAGCCATCGCCCCGTCGACCGCGGCGCTGTTTGGCGTGGCTCGCTCCGTGACCGGGCTGTTTGATCTGCCGACGATGGTGTGTTTTCCCGGACAACAGCACCGTCCCCGGGTGGTGCTATTACTCCCGCCGAGTGATGATCTCCACTCAGCCAGAGGTCTCTCCGGCCACGCGCCGGGGACAAAGGAGGGACGACGGAAAATAAGCGGAGACATTCCTTGTTCATGATGAAGCGATATTACGACACGCGCTGTCTTGTCATTGAATATTTGCGTGTAAGTTGGCTTCTTCAGAATTTCGTTACGTTGAATCACGAGATGTTTCTCGATCTGTATGTTTCTATAGAATGACCATTTTGTCTTGCAAAGGGAATGAGGGGAAGGTTTCTGAATGATTTGAAACTATTCCCTCCCATTAATTTCCTTTAATCCAAGTGTGTTGTTATGCCTAATCAAGCCCTGCCAATCGCTCAGGTCAGTACTTCTTCTTGTCGTCGGTTATGCAGCACAACTCTTTGAACGGCTCAAAGAGAGTTGCGCGGCGGGACAGCAGACATGCCTCTTCCCAATCGATGTCCAAAGTGACTGTTGCTTGCTTCGCCCATTTGGTGTGACATCCAGACGATAAATGTCGCTTTCGAAATATCGCGACGTCCCGCCATCGATCTACCGAAGCTTCTCTGCAATTGAACAGCGAACACCTCCATCTTTCGGCTGCCAGACCGGTCGCCGTGCATTGCTGCGAGTCTGTATACCGGATGTCTCCATCAGGGCGTGTTTTGGGAGGGAGAGGACCCTCCCCTCTCTCCCCCTCGCAGGACCACACAAACTGACTGCCAGCCCCCTTCGTCTGGTCAGAACGCCTAACACAAGGGCTGGATTGTGTGGCAGGACCCTTGTCAAACGGCTCCGTACACCTGCCAGTCACAGCCCCAACCCAGACCTTCCCCTTACGTAAACAAGCTGGGGTCGTGGCCACGCCGCCCCCCGACCTCTGTGGCTGGCTTTGTTGCTACCCCGTTCACTGCCTCTCGTCAAAGAGTCTCTACATTCGTGGGCTCCGTACGCACTACGCAGCGTTCTGATGTGTCATCATCTGTTATCTTGAAGTCCTTGCATTTGCGCCATACGCTTGGTAGACTGGCGTGTCATCTCAATGGGGATTTATTACGTATTCAGCCATTTCATCATGTCTGGCTGTCTGACATCGTTGCACTACCGACTGTGGTCCGCCGCCAGACTGACTCGAGTTCATTGCGGGAACGGGGAAGGATCCCACTCTGCGGAACGTCTGAATGTGTCTGACGGGGAACTGGTGGGCGGGCTGAAGCTGCAACGCTCCACGTGCAAAGTGCAACAGAGTCTGAGAATGACGGATTCGTCAGGAGTCTGGTTGGGCGAACTCAACTGAGTATTGAAGGTTGGACTAAGTAATAAAGGTTGGACTAAGTAATACCGGAGGCAGGCTCGAACGTTGGACTAAGTTGGAAGGTTGGACTAAGACCATAGACTCGAACGTTGGAGTAATGCGCCAGGAGTAAAAAGTAAGCTGCTTCCAAGTCCATGTACTTTTATGGAAATCTCATCGTTTCAAATAAACAATATTGTTCGTTTTTGTTGTTGCACATCAAACAGGGTAATCATAGCCAAAGTTCCCCGAAAAACATCGTTTACGCTTGGAACGCTGAATATGTTGCCGGAAGAAGACGCACCCGCTGTGAACAGGCACTGACTTCCGTCAGCCTCGCCTCCCTGCTGTGACGCCCTGGTAGTTCAGCCTCCGCGGCGCGACTGTCCCTCCTGCGGCGCAACTGTCACAGCGCTCGGCGCGTCGCTTTGGTCGCGCGCGCGTCGCCATTGCCACCACCGCGCCGTCATGCTGCCAGCAGGCGTGGAAGCGGTCCAGAAACCGTTCTCCTGTGTCAACAGCGCAGCACCGCGGTCGCAACTGGATACAGCGCGTAAACATGTGCTCAGAAGTCGTGTCTGCGAACGGCGGAGACTCCGCGGGGGTCGAACAAGCTCCGACAAGCGGCGACTGAGTGGGGGATCGACGGGAAAATGTGACCAGGGAGATGTGGTGTCCCATGTGTGAAATCTGTGTCAGGGAGATCACTTGTGTGGTTCGTTAAAACAGCCCGATGGTGAGCAAAGGAAATGACCAGAAAACTCAAAGATGGCTACCTCCACTCCGCTTGTTTGTCTGACTTACGTTATCTTCTTCCAGGTGCTGGTCTGGCGTTCTTTTGTCTTCTGACTTGCAACAGATTTTGCCTCCTACCGGCGCTTCAGATTGAAGGTATGTGCGACTGGATGAAACCAGAACCACCCGGGTTCTTCACGACGATAATTTGATGTCTGACACGTCTATATGGCCTCGGAGGGGCAATGTTGCAAAGGTCACGACCTTATCGTTTACGTAGAAAGGTGCTGATATGTCACGGCCGCTCATATCCGGAGGGCATTTGACCGAGCCCGCACATGCCCCCATGACCTTCCTGTGTCCAGGCAATATACCCGTGCCGCTCCACATCGCTAGTCGCCGGGTAAAGGCCTGAGAGATTTAGAAGGTCTCTGTCTGCTTCTGTCGAATTTTCTACCAAAACCGGGTGTAATTTAAACATTTTTAAATGGATATCACATTTTCGGCAGGCCAATCTAATAAACCAGCGAAGAACCATCCATCTGACAGACCGCCGTCATATTGTCTCCTACGCCGCTCCCTGTCATTACCCATTAGCACAGTTCAGTTGCAAGTCTCACACGTCACCACACGTCATACCAGTGTCACACCCCGGGCCAGGGGGAGCGTCTGCTCTCCGCCGATGAACCGATGACCTAAGGCGACGCGGCGCCAAGTCAATCAAGCTGATAGATGAGTCACGCCGAGGTCAACTCGTGCCCCAGAGCCTCAGGGACCGAGCTGTGCACTTATCAGACCGGCCGGGTCAGTTGGGAACTCATGAGAAGGGGTACGCGCCTGGATGCCTGCTCTGATTGATTCGATAGGTAGGGTTTTTGATTGAGATGAAATAACGACTTTTTGTCGGAATAGTGATTATGACGGTCATTTCATGTAATGCTGCATTCAGTTTTACTCGGGTACTTAGCCGATGCGTTTCAGTCATGGAATCTTTTCAAATGAAGCTAGGTTTTGTAATGTTTCCAGAACGAAGACGCTTGCTTTTCATCAGATACTGACCCCCCAGATAAATTTTGTGCCGTATTTGCCTCATGAATTCGTCACCATTTGACGCGGTAGTTTGAGCGCATAATGACCCCCAGTGGTCGTGTCCTTATCTCGAACTACTGACTTTAAATGTTATTCAAAACAGCTGTAAAAAACTATTTCGCTTACGACGCAAATTCCCGTGCTATCTAGCAGTCGCTTTATGCTAAATGTGGACTGTAAAGTTTAGACGATTTAGAAAGACTGGAGATGCTTATAGATATAGCAGAAAGGTATGGGAAGATGCATCAGGATATCTGGGACGTTTATTCTATATAGCTCGAACCATCAAACCAAAAGACAGAGTGACAATCCGACAGATTTTACAGGCCAGCCACCAAATCGGCAACAGATTCAAAATCTGACAAACCGACGGATATAGTTAGTAGTTACTATTCTACTATAGTAGTACTATAGTAACTATAGTAGTTAAGAAAACTCCACCCAGCTCACTGATTGGCTAATAGCCTGACAGGCCGAATGGACAGGCCGACAAACCAATAGACTGACAGACCGACAGACCGACATACAGACAGAAGCCTCAGCTGGCGGTACCAGCCGAGAACTACTCAGATCATTGGATGCTATCGACGCATCAGGCAGGCCGTCCGATCAGGCCGTTCGGTAGCCCGTGAATACGGAACTGAATGAATTTCCTCAATGGCCATTCTTAGTGGCGATCGGCGACCGGTCGGCCTTTTAAGTCAGTCTTCAGTTCCAAGGAATCCAGGAGATTTATGTTGGGATGAGAAAACAACCTGGTAATGAGCTGAGGTCTCAATCGGCTGGTGCTGCTATTTCCGGCAATTTATTTCATGCGTCGTGGAATCTATTAAGAATGCATGCACCAACGAGAGCCGCACAACGAGGAGCATTTATTACATTCAATATACGTGCATCTGTGTAGGGGTAAGGGAACGTTATAGGTGCAACTGTTGTCTGTATTTTACCAACGATGCTTTTTATCAGGAACGCTATTTTCACGCCTTCCCTTTTGTTCGCTTATTCATTCGACGCCAATGCCCGCAGAACGGTTTCCTGAAGTCATACTACAGGTTCTTTGTGCTTAAAAGTAACTCAACATCTATTTTCATCATTTAATATCCAAGTCGTTCAAAGACACCACTCGTTCTGTCTGATTCTCGTGTCGAGAGGTGCTCCCATTTTTCATTTTACGGCAGTGGCTCTGTCAGAAGACCCTGGCCAGAACAGTGATAACGCGCGGCGCAGTGCTTTGAAGTCGCGCTAAAAGCGGAGTCATTTCAATGACTCAGCTGGAGCGGGGAGTCGCGGCAGTGACTCACCTCCCCTGGGCAGCGGATGTGTGAACGAGGGCGCCACCACCACCCAGCGTTTACCTATCACACCCCGGGTGCCCGGCTATTTATAGGGGAGTGTGATTTGTCGCTAGCTTACTCAGGGCACGGTTTAATCAGTGAGTTTAGTGTCAGTGGAGATAAAACTGGTAATGCTATGTATTTTTGAGCGAAAATAAGAGCTTTTTCATGACTCGGTATACCATCAACAAAACTTTACGCTGAAAATCATGCTTGCATGGTGCTGCGCTTGTCATATTACCAGCAATCGTACAATCACCACTTCGCGCCCAATCCATCCTGACTTGCCCGTTCCACTATACAATATGCGAGACAGTGACAAATTAATTTTCTAGATGAAAATGCAAGTAACAATTATTTGTACCAACAGAATGCACATGCAGTTTAAATGTCTCGGAGAAGCGGCACCTGGCTGGGTGCGGAAAGATATTCGACCTGTCGGTCGGTCGGTCGGTCGGCTTCCGCAATCCATATCTTCTGAGTGCAGGATGGGATGAGTTTAGACAATGGACAATGGACATCCCTTCTGTCCTCTTGCACACAACAGAATGGATCTGTCGCACAGCCACCGATGCCTCTGACCAGGTCCTCAGCCGCTCTACGTACTTACCAGAACTGAGACAGACACGGCACTGAGATGGATGGACCGGGGAGGGAGGGTTGGTGGGACAAGCGCCGCTCTCCGATGTCGGAATGTGGGCTCAGCTGTCCGGAAGTGAGTCACGCTGTGGTCCGCTTGTGGTTCCTTCTTCCTAGGATCGGAGGTTGCCAGTTCTTACCGACGAGGTGCTTTCACTTTTTCCAATGCGTATTTTCAGTTGAAATCACATTATATTTTTTCATGCATCGCTGGATAGATTTCTGTTCTTCATTACTACTGTTTGCTTAATCAGGATGTTGTGACGTTTGGACGTCACATTCCCTAATTCGCTTCTGGTAGTTATCACTTGTGCGGGCCAATTTATTTATGTTTCGTTTCCAGTTATGTCTATATGCTTTTCTTGGTTGGATTATAGGTTAATTTCTTTTCCGGCATCTACAAAATCACAATGCCCCAAATTAAAACAACTACCTCCCTGCCGATTTTAATTGCAATTTGAGCACGTCTGAAACTGAAGTCAGCAGAAACACACGTCAGAAGTTGTAGCATCAACCCATCAAACCAACATCGATAGGTCCAAGGACCGATGCTTGAAACACAAGTGCCGCTCGCTGCGGCTTTGAGCTCGCGATAAAAAAGATATTCCATATTCCTTTTTCTCGCTTTCCGTTCCGTACAGGATTTTATTTGAAATGTGAAATTATAGTATTTTATTTTTCAACCGATTTTGAAAATGTTTATATAGCTGCTCACCTAAATAAGGCTTTAATCACATATATTTAATGACAGCTATTGGTGATACGACTGTTGGAACCCTTTCTCCCTCGTGATGGAGATAAGAATTTAGATGCCTTGAGTGAGCGAGCTTAAGCTAGCTTCCACTTTCCAGCCACTCGCTATTTTCGGCCCATGTGATCAATAACGTTTGCCAAGTTGCCCATTTTAGGGCAGTGCATGGCAACTAAGCAGCAAGGTAGTACATTTTTCAGTGTCCATACACTCCACCCACTTTGCCAAGGAATATGGAAACTATTCATTTTACCATGGCAAACCGAACCGCTTCCGAGCACTACCACCGTTTCCTATGGCTGTTGAGGGGTGTTGCACCTTCCTTTCATTGCGTGAGCCTGTCTTGGCCGACTTTATTTTGTAGGTCAGGGGCCGTATTCACGTCGACTTCGTAAGTCGATTTTCTTTCGTAAGTATAATTTGGTATCCACGTCGACACTTCTTAAGTTTTTATCGACGGAGTTCACGTGATTAAAAAAATTTACTTAAGAAGTAGGTCAAACTTAAGAAAATTCTTACGAAAATGATCGACGTGAATACGGCCCCAGGACTAGTAGTAATGACCACTACACCATAATCTAAAATAGCGTATCGAGCAAGTCCTGGATGGCTGCTTGCTGTGTCAACGAATGTTTCATTGACATCCGTTGCAGTGCTCATTGTACTGCCACCTTGGGCGAGAACTACACTACCTGCTGTGTTTGGCTTATCGATCACGTCAGTTACCGTAGCCCTGCCTTGTCATTTATGTTCATTTGCACCGGCTGGATACTTGGAACGGCTCGCATTTATTCATGTACAATGCCGTGGTGGATGGTAAGTATACGCATTACGCAGACTCACGAGGAAATGTTTGTTTTATGCCTTCTTGACCCCCTTACTCTACAAATTAGTTGTTATATCTTCATTTTCATTGGCTGCTGTCAGCAAGTGGAGCATGTTTCACAGTTCTTTGTCACGAAAAGATACTTTTTGCTGTATGTACGATTGTACGTGTCACCTCGTCAGCTGCGCACAGAAGAACGCAACTGGCCATTTCTAAAGAGTGGCGCTTTCCAAAATGACACAATGCACACGATATTGCCTCATGATCTCGAAAAGCGCGAGCCGAACGAACATCCCGATACGCCGTACTACACTAAACTCTGCTGCTGTCTGCTCGTGAAGTCTTACAGCACTGCCGTACCATCTCGCCGGATTGTCAGCACTCCTGGAAGCCGTCGGGCGCTCATGGCACCCTGGAGGGCTCCAGGTGACCCTGAGGTGTCGTTCAGACCGCTCAGTGTCGTTGAAGGCGTCACGGTGATGCGATTTATCGTGCTCTGGTGCTTCCTCAGACACCA